CTTCTTGCGCTTCGATCGCTTTGGTGTCAACAGTGCAAGCACAGTCGTTCGTAATGTTCACGACACCTATCTCGGATGATTCGCAATTTTCTTTGCTTTCATCCATTTAATTACTGTATGAATTGTAGCAGGGTCATTTGATCAGGGGAAAGTCACTTCCTGTTGAAAAATATAAACAAATTCGAATTTCGAGCTCTACGTACGGGAACTTTAGAAAAGCAGTCTAAGCCCCGAATGTTGAAATCCCCGTACGTAGCGAGCAACGACCACATGTTTATCAACAGTAGCTCTTCAAAAGAGTCGATTTTCGACATCAAAATATCGTTGAATGTAAAAAAATACGTAGTTACCTGTAAGATGTGGATTTTTTTGTATTAAAAGACGACAAATGAACAAGTATTCCGACAAAAACCTCGATTTTTCAGCATGTATTTCGGCCTTTTGTCGACTTTGCAGCAAAAGCTTTGAGTTTTTCAGGGACTCGGACACCCCGAAGCTCAGCAGCCATGAAAAAATAGCACAGGAAGCCCAGAAATAAACACAAGAGTTTTGAATGTGTTCTAGAAAAAAAAATACTTACATTTAATTTTGCAAATTAATTTGGTTGGCACAATGGTATGTGGGGTCAATGATCATTAATTAGAATAGGCAATATGCAGCGACTCCACTTTGTGCGACAATGCATGATGCTAGTTGTAGTTGTAGTCCTCGTAGTTTTTCATCTGTTTTCATGCTCACTAAAGCAGTCCTCCTGAAATGTTTTTGCTTTTTCTAAGCCAAAGTAGATGTTTTTTTCGTTTAAAATAAAGCGTAAAAAGACCTTTAGTAAAGGGTGTATGCGAGACCATAACGTCCATCATGCTTTTCGGTAGCCTGCGTGGCGGCTCTATGGGAGGTGGTGAGGGGGAAAACGGAAGGGGAGGGGTGGAGGGGCGTAGGCTAATAGTGTCATTTAGTAGATAAGGGATCAAGATTTTGTCTTTGGAATCGGATATATCTAGAATAAAACCATTCAGACCAGAATTTTAATTAAAATATTTAAAAAAAAAAATTTGAGATAATTTGGCCGAAAAATACTATAGGATCACGAAGTTCAACCCCATCGGCATCATCAAAAGAAGTATAGAATGCCACGATGCTGCTAAATAGCCAATCACGATCAGGTGTTGAGCAGAAAGAGTTTCATTTAAAACTTAATACATTTTTGTCTCCATCGCAATGTGATATTTACCCTGGAAATTGCAAAGAGAAAAATGCGAAAAACACTATTAAAAAAACCCTCTGGAATCGGGACATGTGCTATGTTGTTGATCCACAAGAACTAAGGAAGAGATGTAAAGAAAACTTGACACTTTCAAAATATTTTCAGGGAATATATTTTAGTCCTTTTTTAGGAGAGAATACTAAACCTTGGAAGATGACCTTGGAAAATGAGATTGTACGTTTAAACATTCTCTCAAATTCAGTATCAATTCAAAATAAATACTCCAATTTCGAGTTCTGGTTTGCTCTGTGTTAGCGTCAAAACGAAGTAACATATTCTTTTGTTTCATTGATAGGCCGAGAAAACGCATGGAATTTGAAAAGAAAGACAATAGAATTGATTTGAAATCTCCCACTTTTATTCTCGCAGTTGGGAATATTTTGCGCACAAATGAGGCTAACACAGAGCATTGGAGAATTCGAAACTGGATTATTCGAGCTGCATGAGCGAAGGAGGAAGTGGGACCCCAGTGACCTGCGGATCAAATTCACAACAGTCACAATGCAACGTGTTTGGTCCTATCATAAGTACTGAATTATATATTCTTCACTTCGTCGTTGCTCCAGTCTCATGAGTGCACAGTGTGACTGAATCACCAACATGTCTTCCTCAAAGGATCCTGGCAAATCACATTGTAGCCACACAAAGTTCTTCATTATCACATTCTTTTCTCATACAYTGCTACTTTGTGCTGGCATCGTTCCTTTGTATATCACAACAAATCATCGTCTGGTGACTGTCGAAGATCGCGTAAGGCTRCATGACATGGAACTCAAYTCTTGYTGCCTCGTGAAAGAAACATATGGTAATTTTCAAGGTAGGGATGCCCATCTCGACATGATAAAAATACAGTCTTGTCAGGCCTTCATTCAAGTTTATACGACGCACAAATTAAATTATGATTACAGGAGTAAATGATATAGTCTTTCAGATGAATAACGGATATATATTCCATGATCACGCGGAAAGACGAATAGCTACGAGTTTGCGTAGCTATTTCTCAGGGAGATTTCTTACATTGAACGCGAGAAGATAAAATGTATAATTATCTCAAATCAACCACCTAATAATGTTCTGTTTATTTCGTTAAATCCAATTTATATCTATAAAACAAGAATATAACAATTTGAATTATATGGGGCATAAGATGTTAATTCAATTGTATGAACATATTGACCACTTTCTTGCGGATATTTCAATGGAGATCATATAATGCTAGGAGGAGCCGAGGGGTTCCTGGAAGAAATATACTGTTCTTATGTCCCATCCAGCAGCTGTAATTCACAACTGGTTGGCAGCGAGAAATTTAGTAAAAAAGAACTCTCCAGGCGAGGAATACTTTCTAATAATTTTTGCTAGGAAAATAAAATTTTCAAACTAAGAAAATAAAAGACGTTTTTGACCATAAAACATAAGCCTTTTTTAAACCTTTAAAACGTTTGCCAGGAACAACATTATTTTGAATAATGAAGGCCACCACATTTGCTTATGAGGTTGTAAAAAATGTAGCTCAAAATCCCTTTCCCAGAAAAAAATCGTGCAAACACAGTTTCATTTAAAACAACTGAATATAACAATTTGAATTGTATGGAGTATCTATGGTAACATGTTATTTCATTTTTAAAACATATTGACCACTTCTTTGGTGGTATTTCAATGGAGTTCATATAATACCGACAAACTCAAAGGAAAAGCGTTCTTTCTAGTCCGAAAGACGACTCCAGCAATGTCATCTGAAACCAGCTTAAACATTTTGATTCTACGCCAACTCTTATAATATTTCGTTATAAATCCACAGATCACGAGGAAACAAAGGTCACATTGAATCGAGAAAAAGATGACCAGACGCAATTTACCGACCGCGTAAGACGCAACACTCCTTTTACATATCTCGTGGTGTCTTGAATTCCATTCGTATGGAAGTACGTAATCACATTTTAAACCTCACGGCCTCGCAGTTTTGTCAAGCTCCTGATAGGATTTGTATTCGTGGAGTTCCGGGGAAAAGAGGACAAAGGGGGAGAAGAGGGTCTCGGGGAAGAAGAGGTCGACCAGGTCCTAAGGGAACAAAAGGCCTTCCTGGAAAATACGGTAAACAAGGATTGCGAGGACCTCCTGGACTAAAAGGACAAAAAGGCGATATCGGAAATCCAGGACCGCCAGGACTGACGGGACCGAAAGGGGAACGAGGGGAACAGGTTTCTGAGCCTTCAGTACTTATTTCACCATCGATACTGACAGTTACTCAGAACCAGACAGCTACTTTACATTGCAATGCTTACGGTAATCCCAAACCAAAGATAACATGGAAAATGGAATCGGGAAAACAAATTGATTTTGGTAAAACCAGAATAGATAAATCAGGATTGCTTGAAATCACGAGTGCTAGTGAAAACGATACAGGAAACTACACGTGTTCTGCAAAGAGTGTTCTCGGAGAGGATGCGAAAAGAGTGTCACTTCTTGTCAGATGTAAGTAAAACCAATCTTAGTCTTGCTTATCGTATTCCTATGATATCGATTTGAATTGATCTAACCGGCACACGCGTTTATGTTATAAACGTTTCCACCCAATTCAAACCATCAGAGAGTTAGTTTCATTGTTCGTTGTATTTTCATTTCACTGTTGAATTCTTAGAAACAAAAGTTATTTTTCCCACAGGATTTGAATTGAGAGGAAACGTACATGGCAACGCGTGAGCAAATTAGGTGTATTATATTGAGTGTTTGTGTTGGTGGGCAAGTTGGTTAGTTGGTTGAGTCTGAAATAATTTCAGATACTTGTTGATGCACATTTTGAGGCATATTTTCCATAGTGTGCTTGTATTCGATAGTTCCACCAAGGTTTACCAAGGTACCACAGTCATTCCAAACCGTTCGCCAAGGCAGCACTTTGGATCTGTTATGCCGTGCTTCGGGATATCCACCGCCCATAATCACGTGGTCAAGACTTCATGGATCTCTACCTTCAAAACGAAGTCAAAAAAAACGGCGGGAAACTTACAATTAGAAAATTCCAATTAAGTGACAGTGGGTCTTATCAATGTATGGCTGTGAATTCGTTGGGTAGAAAGACTGTTTACACGTCATTGAGTTTCGGTAAGTCGTTGGTGTCTTGATTATAATGATAAATTAGAAAATAGTACAGGAAGCTATGACGTATTCCATGTTTTCGCTTTTTTAAATATCTTGGGAATTGATGATAGCACTGAGTAATTTTCGTAGAACATTGTTGCTAATTTTTGAATAATTCAATTCACTTTTAAAACACAGAAAGATGTAACGATGCACTTGTTATGCAAAGTAAAGCCGTAACGGCTTTATTTAGTTATGACGTATTCCATGTTTCCGTATTTTGTTCCGTAACTTTCTTGGAAATGGTAGCACAGCGTTACTTTTGTATAGCATATTTTAACTCACTTTTGAATAATTAACTTTACACAGAAAGATGTAAAGATGGCGATGCACTTGGCATGCAAAGTAAAGCCATTCCAGATTCAAAAATTACCGCTTCGTCGAATGGTGGTTCAAGCTGGCTCCCATCTTATGCTAGACTAAATGTAGCCCTTGGTAATGGTGGATGGGCAGCTAGGTCTAATACACTAGGAGAATGGATACAAGTTGACTTGAGCAAAGTAACCAGAGTTATAGCCATTGCGACACAAAGCTGTCAAAGTAATTCCTTCTGGGTTAAAACGTACAGTTTGCAGTACAGCGACGATGGAACTAGCTTCAAAGACTATGAAGGGGGAAAGACTTTACCTGGAAATTTGGATCAATCAACGGTTGTAAAAAATAACCTTGACCCTGACATAACTGCCAGGTATATCAGACTTCTTCCAAAGACATACCATAGACACATGATACTAAGAATGGAACTTTATGGCCGTTGCGAATTATAAAACCTGCGGTTGTGTCTTGAACTTTCCAAATCCCCCCACTGGGGAAATATCATTTCCGAAATGATATTTGTACGCAAAAGTAACACTTATAGTTATCAAAGAAATTCCACTACTCGTATGTCGTATGAAGACAGTGATCTTCCATTCAAAATTAAGGTCAATTAAGACGGCATCCATCCGTTGGTTTATCAGTGTAAATATTAACTACACTTGGTATAGCTAATTGATCGTTCAATCATTCCGATGACAAAGAGCGTCCATGTTAGAAGAATGAACAACAGATAAAAATTCTTTGTTGAAGTTCCTCCAAGATGGCGTCTGTGGCGCAAAAGGAAAACGAGAAATATAGTGGTTCGTTTTTATATTTTCAAGATAAATATGAAACTTTACGGATGTCAGCTAACGTTCACAAAGTACATTGTTTTGCAGTATTTTTTTCTTCACGCGTGCCCAAACTAACGTCCGCAAAGAATATTTGCTTTCAATACTTTATTCTTCGGGCGTTTTCCATACTCGCACTTGGCATGTCTGTCACGCAATATCAAAAGTCACAATATCAACCCAATAAAGAATTGTATTGTTTGAAATAGCTCTCTTGAATCAAAAAACGTTATTATCATTAAGATCACCTCAAGGAAATGGAATCAGGAGTAGAAATATTTTTTTTTATGTCTGTACTCATCAGGCTAAAAATATTTTATTATTATCATTTAATATATCCTTTATAGTACCACGCATTTTATTTCTTATTCCAGCTTGTAAATTAGTCTAACGTTTACAGAAAATTACAATAACTTTATCAATGGAAATTGAATCATTTGGATTGAAATAGAAAGATGAAAAAAAAACCCTGAATTATTAACTTTTTAGAGACGTTGCCTTAATTGTTTGCTGTAAAGAACGCCAAACTAATTATTCCTCTTATTAAAGAAAATACTAGAGTAGGGAAGATATTTCAGTGTGAGACAGTTGRATCGTTTCAGAGTATTTCAAGCTGCATATAACCCGAAAGAGGAAGTGAGACCTCATGACCTGCGGATCAAATTCACAACATTCACAGTGAAACGTGCCTGGTCCTATATCTTATAAGTAAATGTTATATTCTTTACGTACTTACTACACTGTAGTCTCATCAGTACACAGGTCGACTGAATCACCAATATGCCATTTTCAAAAGATCCTGACAAAACGTATTCTTGTAGTCACACAAAGTTCTTCATTATCACATTCATTTCGCATACATTGCTACTTTGTGCAGGCATCGTTCCTATGTATATCACAACAAATCATCGTCTGGTGACTGTCGAAGATCGCGTAAGGCTGCATTACATGGAACTCAATTCTTGCTGTCTTATGAAAGTGACATATGCAGGTAATTTTCAAAGTAGGGACATGATCCGTCTCGACTGAAACGACGCGAATACAGTCTTGTTATAGTTATGAAGCCTTTATTCAAGTTTGTACGCCGGTGTATAAATGAAATGGCAGCTATAGTAAATAACAGTCTTTTATCAATAATTTTATATAAACATCATCATGATCAATAATTTCGAGATGTACCAGAAATTTAAGCGTCACAAGCAAAAGAATAACAAAGAAGATATGCGATATCGACTATCGCCTAACTTATACAATTGAAGTAGGAAGTTCTCCTAAGCACACTTTCTGTACGCTTTTTAGCTGTATTTCAATGTATTAACGTGTTCATAAGTAATAACGTCATCAAACTCAGAGGTTTAAAACAGTCTTTCTTGTCCTTAATGATATAAATAGGACTCTCGAATGTCACCGGAAACCAGGTTAAACATTTTGATTCAGCACCAACTCCTATTTGTTTTTCTTTATTTGCTAACAGATGAAGAGGAAACAAAGTTCACACTGAATAGAGAAAATAATGACCAGACGCAATTTATCAAACGTTTAAGACGCAACACTCCTAACAWATCTCSWGATGTGTTGAATTCCATTCGCATGGAAGTACGTAATCACATTTTAAACCTCACGGCCTCGCAGTTTTGTCAAGTGCCTGATAAGATTTGCACTCGTGGAGCTCCGGGTAAAAGAGGAAAAATTGGGAGAAGAGGGGCTCGAGGAAGAAGAGGTCAACCAGGTCCTAAAGGTACAAAAGGCCTTCCAGGAAAATATGGTAAACAAGGACTGCGAGGACCTCCTGGACTAAAAGGACAAAAGGGCGATATCGGAAAACCAGGACTGCCAGGACTGACGGGACCGAAAGGGGACCGAAAGGGGAACGAGGGGAACAGGTTTCTGAGCCTTCGGTACTTATTTCACCATCGACACTGACAGTTACTGAAAACCAGACAGCTACTTTACATTGCAATGCTCAAGGTAATCCCAAACCAAAGATAGCATGGAAAATAGAATCTGGAAAACAAATTGATTTTGGTAAAACCAGAATAGATAAATCAGGACTGCTTCAAATCTCAGATGTTGATGAAAACGATGCAGGAAACTACACATGCTCTGCAAAGAGTGTTCTTGGAGAGGATGCAAATACGGTAGTGCTTCTTGTCAGAT